AATCAAAACCATATGTGTGAGCTTTGGAAAAGGGTACATGATTCATTAAATTAAGACCCAATATCCTTATTTAGGATTGTTTTCATGCATGCATCAAAAAAGCCACAAAGGGTGCCAACCAGTAAAATATGCATTCATGAAAACTAGATTGGAACATGGTTCACTTTGAACTACTTTTGGATGGAAAAAACATATGTGCTCTCTCTGAATTTGAATGAATTGAAATGCTTAGATTTCCTCTGATGACTGAAATGGCTTAAAGGATGCTTGAATTAGGATAGTTATTAAAATACAATACTTTTTTGTCTTGTGTGGTGAAAAATAATCTTTTCTCCTCCAGGCCAATTTTTCTAACAATAACTCTACTGTTTGGCACAGTTGGCTAATGTGCATCTCATTTTTTATTATAATTAATTTTTTGTTGGTCAGTTGAACTCATTGCTTTTTTTAACCCAAAATCAACTTCTAATTTCATGCTGCACATTTTGTGGCTAAGAGAAATGGAAATGGTTATTTGTGGTTATAAAGGACTTAATTCTGAGAGACCTTCATATGCAGAATAGAAATAGTCTAGAGTTTACAATACTCTACTGGAAAGTGGAAATCCTTCATGTGTTTTTTAGAGAATGTTTTGTAGAATGAGTGCAGCAGATACTAGAGGTTGTTGCTACATTTATACATTTGTGTATAGTAAAATGACAAACTTGAATTTAATGAAGGCTTCTTGTACTAAATTACTGTACCCAATATCTAAAGAGTAAATAAGGTGAATTATTCTATGTAATTATTAGACCACCTTTTTTTAAATACAGTATGGTTACAAACACTAGGAAGTGTTGAATCAACAGTTGGGAAACTGGGATTTTCTCCACTCTTTTTTTCTCCAGCTTTTTAGTTATTAAAGTAATTCTGTACTGGTGATACTTAATTCAGTACAAAGTTATGGGACAGCGTTGGTCCTCTTCAGCTAATTTTAGTGTCCTGTAAATTATATCCCTGTGAAATGACCTTTGTTGCAGACTTGCGGTTGTCAAAGTTACTGAAAAATAAAGCACAGAAGCTAAAAATATGATATTGAGACATATGAATGACTTGGTGCAGTAGTGACTTCATTCAACAGGGGACATGTAACTTTGCAGTGGGGAAACTCATTTACATTACATGTTTGGATTGATCATTTTGAAATCCACAGTTGCCTGTAGTGGTGATGTGTGTGTGTGTGTGTGTGTGTGATGTCCTGGCCACTTTGGGTCATCTTTACTTTGAAAATGCATTGCATCACCACTCGGCTGAATAACAAGCATGCCTACTCAGTGGGTGGGTCAGAAGTGGCTGCCAAGACCTTTGCAAAATAAAGCACTTGGTCTGATCTTTAAGTGTAACAAAGATGCCTGAGAAACTCTAATGCAACAACTCTTTCAATTCCCTGATTTAGGGTCAATGAAAACATCCCTTACACTTCAAAAGGTATACTTGCTTTTATGTGTGCACACACACACACACAGTAGTTGTCCCTCATCTGCAGTGTTAACGGGTTTGAGATGATTGAGTTGCCACTAAAGATGAATCCATGACTTTAATTAACTTTTGATTAATTGGCTTCTGTATTCCAGGCATAATTAGAAATTAAATATAGCAGTCAGCTGGATGGGTGAATGGCGCCCAGCTCTGCGTCAGGCTGTCTAAATGTATCTCACACAGTGCAGTGTCCAGCGAGACACTCGTGAATATCCTCTCTCTGGGTTTTATATTTCATACTCTATGCTTTTGTATTCTAAACAATTTTAATGCTATATTAGGTCACCACTTGGTTCTAGTGTTAAATTTAGGTCCTGAAGCAAAACTTGTAGAACTGATTTGTGACCCTGGACCACAAAACCAGTCTTAAGTCGCTGGGGTATATTTGTAGCAATAGCCAAAAATACATTGTATGGGTCAAAATTATTGATTTTTCTTTTATGCCAAAAATCATTAGGATATTAAGTAAAGATCATGTTCCATGAAGATATTTTGTAAATTTCCTACTGTAAATATATTAAAACGTAATTTTTGATTAGTAATATGCATTGCTAAGAACTTCATTTGGACAATTTAAAAGGAGATTTTCTCAGTATTTTGATTTTTTTGCACCCTCAGATTCCAGATATTCAAATAGTTGTATATCGTCCAAATATGATCCTATCCTAACAAACCACACATCAATGGAAAGCTTACTTATTCAGCTTTCAGATTATGTATAAATCTCAATTTTAGAAAAATTTACCCTTATGACTGGTTTTGTGGTCCAGGGTCACATTTGTGTAGAGGCTTTGGTTTTGTGAATACTTTGTGTCAGGCTAGCTGGGTTTCTAGCACAGTTTCCATGAGTTTGCTCTTTGTTTGTGGTTTGCGTCCTCTTAGTGGCCAGTAAGGCTGCTCCCTAGAAACCACCGTCTCTCAGCGGATGTGATTTCTGTGATAGCAGCTAGTGCTCTGCCAACAAGATTTTTCACAAGTCCCAAATATAATAACCTTTCTTTCTTTCTTTCTTTCTTTCTTTATTTGCTCGCTTTTATTTTTGCATTGGCAAGTGCTGTTGTCATAGCAACCCACGTAGATTATTGATCTTGCTGATGACCCATTTGATTTTGTGTACGTCTATTGTAGTTTGAACTTTTGCTGGTGCTGCTGTTTCTGTGTTCACGTGATCATCCATTTGTTGTGTTCAAAGCATGCGGCTCTTTGTTGTAAAGGGATTGTGGGTAAATAGAAATATATGTAAATATTGAAAACAAGTTATTTTGGTACTGTGTTTGTTGCATTAATTTGTTTATTTAGGACATTCAATGCAATGTTTTTAAAGATGCACATCTTAACTACATTTTACACATTTTATAATATTGTAATTTTATGATTTATGCATTTGGCAGTATTGTATTTTATTTTCAAAGATGCACATCTTAACTACATTTTACACATTTTATAATATTGTAATTTTATGATTTATGTATTTGGCAGTATTGTATTTTATTTTCATTTTATATACGTGTAATTATTTATTTTATTTTTATTTTTTATATTCCACTGCAAATTTTGGCATGATAATGTTGAATTCGAACCGTTTTGTTTCAGTTCTGTTTGTTTGTTTGTGTGTATGAATACGCATTTGTGTGTGGTTAGACTGGAAATGCAATTGGCTTGACCTTCAGTTGAGCTGGAAGCAGTTTATCACATGCAAGTATCAAAGTGGGAGGTCAAGGACAGGTCCGTTTGATAGATGCTGTGTAAAGAAGTGTGTGAGTGTGTGTGCTTTGTGATGTAAACAAGAAAGTGTACTTTTTCTTGTGCTTGTAGTCTTCCTGTAGCAGCAAAGTGCTGATATAGAAAGGACCAAAATGTAATTTATTGATTTATTAACCTTTTCATATAAAGACTTTTCCTGAATCTTATTTCACTGTCCAGCTTACATAGTGGTTAATCTTTCGCAGATACATGAATATGCTGTCTGTACACTCACCAACAAGTGATAATGTGAGTGTGTGTGTGTGTGGTTGGCATGAGCCAGCCCCCCACCCCCCACCCCAAACACACACTCCACAAACTCAAGCAGTGCTACATATTCCCAGCGTTCTTCTGAGGGGGGTCGGAAAGGAAGGAGGAAGCGTCTTTCACTCTGTACAGTGCTGACTCAGTCTTTCAGAGCAGTGTTGAGATTATCCCCAAATTCAACCACAATTCTTTCGGTTCAGGACAAGAATGGGGGGCTTTACCCAAATGCACCTTGTGAAATCATCTGCTTGGGTTTATCTGGTTGAATGCATTTATATGCGCTCTATGGTTTGTGAAGCTACCTTCTCAGTGTCCAAATGACAAGTGACTAGCGCCACCACTGATGAGTTAAAGGGATAGTCTGTTAAACACAAAAGAAGATATTTTCAAGAATGTTGGTTACCAAACAGTTAACGGTAGCCATTGACTTCCATAGTATTTTTTCCCCATAGTTTGGAAGTCAATAGCTATCGTCAGTTACATACACTACTTGATGGTGAGTAAATGATGACAGAATTTTCATTTTTGGGTGAACTATCCCTTTAATGTTATAGCAAAGTGAAAACTGATTAAACTAACGTGCCTTATTATGGCTTAGTGCTCAGAAGCGTTCAGGCAGTGCTGATATGTGCTCCGGTTTGCCTTTAGAGTTTTTTAAGTCTCACTACATCTAGGCTGGCGATTTGTTCTAGTTCAGCCTATAGATTTAAACCTGCAGGGAGAATCTGCTAATTTTGTTTAACGCATTGAAAATGTTATTTTTTATATTTAAGATATTGTTTTTCCCCGTTTTTTTTATTTTTATACAATTCTTTATTTATTACATTTATAGTATATTAATTATTATAGGCCTATATGTCCAAAAAGGAAATCGAACAAAATGTGTAATAAAAAAAACTCTTTACATCTATAGACGAGTTCAGTATTTGCTCCAGTTTGCCTTTCTATTTATTGTGGCCTATATATGAGTTTTTGGACATATGATCTTTCATTTGGTTGTTTTCTTGAATTTTATTGTGCTGTTTGTGGTATTAAAATCACAGTGTTTCTGTTATTTATATCTATATGACATAGGTGTGTCAGTGCACATGAAACACTTAATTTTGTAGTATTCTACTTATCAAAATTATAAAGCAGTGGTGGGCCTTCTGTGATTCGCAATAAAGCAACTGAATTTGAATAAAAGAGGGGCAGCATATCATATTAAACTAGATAATACCCCAATTATTCAGAGATATTGTTAAAATTATTCAGAGCTAATCTTAAAATTACACACATCAGTTAAAATATTGTTCTCCAAGCTTCCATAAAAGTAGTTTCAGCCTTTGTGATTATATTGCAAGTTAGAGTGTTTAAATATGGAGTTTGAGGTCCTTTGTATAAAATGTACCTTACCTAAATGAGAATAGTGCTTTCAAAGGACGACGTAGCGACTGCGGAGCGCGCGGCGGTATCGAGGGCTGGCGGGGGTTTCAGAAGCGGCCGGTCTGTGAAGCGGCAGGGGCACGGAAGCGGGCTTGATACGCTATTGTTGACATTGCTGACAACGAATCCGCTCCAGCGCCGAGTGGTCGGTGAGTGTTCGTACATTGAAAATGTGTTTACGTGCCACTGATTTCGCGGTGAGATTAGGAGATAAGGAAGGAAGACCTCGCGCAATGCAGCACTGCTAGTAAACATGAACACGCGCGTGTGGAACGGTGCTCTATTTTTGACGCTGTGTTTTTAATGGTCCGCTCTCTCCCTCAGACTGCTTTCTGAACGTTTTACCGGGCACCGGTTTTCTGTCATTGGAATTAGAATAAAATCATGTAGCTGTAGGAAAAACCATTGTGCGTCAGAAATAGATTAATGCAATTACGCATGGCCTGGTTGATGCATGAGAGAGAGAGAGAGAGAGAGAGAGAGAGAGAGCAGGCGAGCGGAAATAATCTGATGTTTAGAAAGTGCATATGAAAATAATTTGGAATTAGGGTCATCTCTGTCTGTCTTGTAAACAAATAATAATAACTAAAATAGACGATTCCTTTATGTTTTGGCATAATATACCGACATCACATGGCATGTGTTACTTGATGTTTTGTGCAGATAACTTTTTGCATTCGTACTATTTGTCGTTTAGTCTCAGGAATGCTTATCTTAAAAAAACAGCAAAGTAGATTCATTTCATTTTGTAATCTCATCACAGCTGAGCTTCAAACTGTCTATTGTCTGTGCAGACTAAAGTGAATGCGCTTCACAGATTGCATGGCATATTTACTATCCACCCTTTAAAAAAAACTGAATAAAAAAACTGTGTCAGTCACAGAATCAATACAAATAATTAGAAGGTAGCATAATAATTAAAATGACATTTTATTATTATTGTTGTTGTTATTACTTTAATTGTAGTCATGAGATTGTGATTTAATTCATAATATGTATTACTAATTTCTTTGTCCAAGAAATCATAATTAAATAATAAAATCCTAAAATTCCACCTTAAAAGGTCCCGGTTCAACAGAGTTCCAGGGAATACTTACTTAAAGAGTAAGGATGAGGAGAGCAGGGGAAGCCTTCTGTCAGAGCCGATCTTGAGGCCAGGCGCCACAGCTGGAGGGGGAGGGGATGAGAGTGAATGGGGACTGGGGGAGGGGGACTGACTGACTGAGAGAGAGAGTTGGAAGAGCGGAGGATAGTGAAGATGCTTTTATGTGGCTCAGTGTCTGTTTCTTCCACAGTCTGCACAGTGTAGGCCACCTCACAGCTTCACCATCAAGCTTTTGTTCTTCAAATAATTCATACCAGCCCAGTTTCGTATGTGTTGGGGTATGTTTTTCTGCTGTTTACACAATAAATATGATTGCAATTTGTAATTATGCTCTGTATGTTATATTTTTGAGCATTTTTTTTTTTTTAATTGTACAGTGTTGCTATACAGTAGTACTAAGTGTTTGTTTCACTGTGATGTTTCCAGGAACAGCTGCTAGTTTGCAGGTTGCACTAGAGGTTGCGGTGTTCGGGCTGTGGTCAAGTTTTTGAGTCGAACTTCTTGTGTTTTCAGTTTTGCAATCTCAAAATGAATATGTTAAAGCATTGACTGTTGTTTTAATTTAAACTGTTTTGGTTTTTGTTGGTTTGATGTTAGTTTTCCGTGAATTAAGTGAGAGGGAAATTCCAGGGTTCCCACGGTCATAGAAAACCTGGAAATATCAGGGAATCTTAAAACTGTGATTTCTAAGCCTATATTAATAATTTATTATCTTTTCATATACGCTATTTTTATTAAAAAAATTATTTTATGCTCAGTTCTAAAATCTTATCAGCTAAAATTGCTACATTGTTTATTTTTATATATTTTTTCCTTTCAGATTACTAAAATTGTCCAGTAATCACGATTGACTGACGAATGAAAAATCATGGAAATACATTGGTCAAAAGGTGTGGGAACCCAAAATTTCATACTGACTACATTTCTGTGTATGTGTGTTTTGGTTGGTGGTGTGTTGAGTTTTATGATGAATTTATGGTTGGGTATTAAAAAGTTGTGGTTTTGTCTTGGTTGCTGTTTATAGCTTATAATTATCCAATTATTCAAATAATAGACACGTGTACTCTTTATACAATTCAAAGTATTTGTAAAGTAAAATCCCCATCACATGATGCAGAATCACAGTACACGTGACAATTTTTACTTTAAATCAAGAAACACATGCAACCTATTGTATTAAAAATGAATAAATATAAATGTGTGTAAATATATGTAAATAGTTTAACATTCTGACAATGTAAATACAATTTAATATTCTGACATTGTGTTTTTCTCTCTCAGGTCTGATGAGTATTCCTGCTGCTGCATCAGTTCAGTCAGGGGGTGGAGAGATGCAATCACCTGGGGCCATTAGCCCCTCCTTCCTCCCGCCCCCAAGTGGAAAAGTTCCAGGTCGCAAGAGGGGTCGCCCACCCCTGAAGAGGCACCCGGAATATCAGAGTCACTACCCAGAATCCCTCCCACCCATTAAAGTGCCTAAGAAGAGAGGGAGGAAGCCTGGCTTTAAGGTCAATAAATATCAGAGTGTTTATGTGACTGTTTAAAAATGCGCATGCATGTGTAGGCCACAGAGATAAGGCCTTTTTATTGTTCAGACGTGTTTGCCAAATGCATAAATGTCATCAAGTGGTGCATTTGAGTACATAATGGTGTGTGTGTAACACTTATGATGGTTTAGCTAGAGGAACAGAGTAATGCTTTGTAGGTAGGCCCATCTGATGTTGACTGTATGAGAGAAGGAGGTGATAGGGTGGTTGTTCTTTGACTGATGTATCTGCAGTCTGCTGCGGAGTTATTTTTAGCCGTGTGCCTGAGCACAAGCCTCATAATGTCGCTGCTGCTGATTTAAAGAGCAACACGCTACCACAATGTGTGTGCATGTTAGCAGATTTGCAGTAGACACCGTGGAAATACACTCTTGTTTAACCTAAACCTGATGGTTATTGCTTTTTATAGCATTGTTAGGGACAGTTTATCTTCCATAACTTATATTTTACGCCATTTTACAATTACTTATTAGGGTTATTTCCTGTCTTACACATATTTTGCACATATTGTGTAAAAAGGGGTTAAATCTGTTGGTGGTTCTGGTGCCCTAGGCAAGATATGGTCCAGTCTTATATATCTTGCTTTTGATGTGAGTTGTCCCGAGTTCAAAAACATAAATAAACCAAGCAAATTTGCTACATGATGCAAATGAGAAATGGTGGTATTTGGCTACATTTTATTTTGATATTACACTTTAATGGAGTATGACTCACTAAATAGAGAACAAATAGAGACGTACATCTGGATTGTTCCTGGTCTGATTAACAATTTTTTAAAAGGAAAAAGTTCATATTTAGATACATAAGTATTTGTTTAACTCATTAAAGTATTTTGTGTGTTATTTTTGTTTTTGTTTATTATTTATATGGTTAGGACAATACACATTTTTTTTAAAAGTGTAAAAAAAAATATTTTACTGCCTGTATAGAAGTATAATAATAATAATTATTATTATAATAATATGATAATATTAATTATACACTGGGATGTTTTTAAAAATGTGATATTATAATATACGTGTTATATATATATATACAGTGGGGCAAAAAAGTATTTAGTCAGCCACCAATTGTGCAAGTTCTCCCACTTAAAAAGATGAGAGAGGCCTGTAATTTTCATCATAGGTATACCTCAACTATGAGAGACAAAATGAGAAAAGAAAATCCAGAAAATCACATTGTATTGACCAAATACTTATTTTCCACTATAATTTGCAAATAAATTCTTTAAAAATCCTACAATGTGATTTTCTGGATTTTTTTTTCTCATTTTGTCTCTCATAGTTGAGGTATATCTATGATGAAAATTACAGGCCTCTCTCATCTTTTTAAGTGGGAGAACTTGCACAATTGGTGGCTGACTAAATACTTTTTTCCCCCCACTGTATATATATATATATATATGTTTTATAAATATCAAAATATGATTATATAACATATTATTATTATTAATAGTAAATAATGTTTATTTATTTATTATATATATATTTTTTTTAATAGCTGAAGTCTCGCTTGATGACACCCCTGGCCATCTCTCCACCCAGCAGCACCCCGGAGCCAGACATGAGCTCAATCCCCCAGGATGCTGCTACTATCCCCCACTCAGCCACCCCACAGGTCCTCACAGGTAACGAACACACAAAAACTTCTGCAGTGTTGCCATGCCAATCCCAGAAACTAGTAACCAGCTCTTTCTATTAAGGGAATAATAAAATGTGAGCATTAAAGGAATCACTGTCCTCAGAGGAGTCACATTATGACTCAGTGCCATCTCATTCTCTTTTTAGTGGCCAGTAGGGACTGTAACTCTACCCATATATCTGTTATGATAACTGTTATTTTGTCAAGATGATATGATGGGATGTGTGTCTCAGGGGGTGAGAGAAGACCACCATCACTGTCTTAATTACATCCAGCCCGGATATTTTTCCTTATTTAGGACAACAATATCTATTAAAATTATGAACTATGAGGATGTATTGCCTCTTTTGTTTAATTTGTATTAATTCTCGGACCTAATCTAATCTTATAGAAAGTTCTTTACAATAAGCCGCTCCCTTTGAATTTATTGATGAAATGTATTTCCATAGTATACTCTATGGTTAAGCATTCAAATATTGTTGTGCCAGATGTGATAAGACTTTAATCCATTGATCTGTCAATCTAAACTCAGTCTGTGTGAATGTAGCCAGTAATGATTTCATACAGCACAGGCACACACAATCTTTGATGTCATGACCCAGTGGTCAACACGGGCTGCCCATCCAATTGGCAATAACATCCATCACTAGAAGGAGAGGGGACTGAGAGAAAAGAGTAGTTGCATCTCTTATTTTAAAAGTTAATAGGTGGGAGAGTCTCAAGGGACATTATTGAGGGACCTGACTGCTCCTGCTTTAAGAGGCATTATCATTCAATGTATCTCTTTATTACAGTAGAGAGATCAATTCTGTTCTGCAACATTGTTTTTTTTAGTGGAATAAAAAAATCTTAGTATTTAAAAAATATGAACTTCGAATCAATTCACTTGCTAACTACAGCATGTGTGATTTAAATTCTGTCTGTCAATATTAGTGGAGACTGCATCTCAATGCACCTGTCTGGTTCTCCACTAATGCTGTTCTAGGTCTACTTTAAACATGAGAAGATGTGACGGTACGGCTGAACTCAATCCTGAGTTCGAGTTCTCAAAGCTTAATCCCTTTGCTGTAGGGAGCAGTTGCCAAACAAGAGGCTTTTGTCTGCCCACCAGGTTTCTAGACTTTAATTCTTTGTGCAGCGGAAAAGTCACGCTCTCTTTTGGTCCCTTTCATATATTTCAAAAACCATGTTAATTTTGTGCAGATTCATGCTAATGCTTTCATATGTGTGACATATTGTCTTTAATTTTTTGAAGACAGAAATTTGACAAAACATCTTGATGCTCATAAATCTGCGTTCCAATATGTGTATAATCCATGGGGGATGTCTGTCTGGGGGTCACCAAGGGACTTGTTGCTGCTGCTGGTGGACCTTGACCTTGATGATCTGAAATCATCACCGTAGCGCCATTTTGGAGAATAACCACTGAACGCAAGCAGCGTACGCTCTTCTGTGTCAGCCGCGCTGCAGGGATGCACTGTTTTCGTTCAAATCAAAGCGTACATACATGTAGAAAACATATCCTTGTGTCGCGGCTGATACAGAATAGCGTACGCTGCTTGCGTTCAGTGGTTATTCTCCAAAATGGCGCTACGGTGATGCGGAGAGACACAGAGGAGACAAATTGTTGAATAAAGTCGTTATTTTTGTTTTCTTAGCCTACAAAAAGTATTCTCATCGCTTCATAACGTTACGGTTGAACCTCTGATGGCAGATGGACTATTCTGACGATGTTTTTCATACTTTTCTGGACCTTGACAGTGTAATTTACTTGGCAGTCAATCGGACAGTCACAAGCCTCCCGGTTTTCATCCAAAATATCTTAAATTGTGTTCCGAAGACGAACAAAGCTTTTAGGGGTTTGGAACGACATGGGGGGTAAGTGATTAATGACAACATTTTAATTTTGGGGTGGAGTATCCCTTTAATAGCTTTTGTGCTTGAAAACGTGTTGAATTATATTGCCTTTCCTGAGTGTGCTAAATTTAAACGGCCTGTAAGCCTACATATCTGGCATGTCAATAATCTTGCTATCAGTTATCTATTTTAAGGCTTTGTGTGGTGCATGTCAGTCCTCCCACACTCAATATTCATTGACTTCATCCTGTTACACATTCTCAAAAACACGCACAAGCTACTTCTTGCGATTATTTTAACCCATGAGCGGCACGGGGAGTGTGTGTGTCTGACTCCTGGTCATGGCATTTCTAGATGACAGACGACGGAGGAAATCCCTCAGCTTGGCAGTCTGTCAGATTAAAGCATCCGCTTGCAGCAGACGAGCGAGGGAAGTCAGTGGGGACAGATTGTGTGGGAGGAATTGGGAGGGTGGGGGTGCGAGTGATTGGTGGATTCCTACACAGGCTGCTTTCTCTCTATTTCTGGCTCTCTTTTTATTTCTGTTTTATCCTGTGGTAAGATGAATCGCTCATGCTTTTATTTTTCCTTGTTTGTAAGCCACTTGAGATAAATTAATACATGGAAATAGAAATGTTTCCTATTGAGGGGGGTTAGTTTTATTTAGGGTAATCAAAAATGTATTGCCTCCGGTTGGCTCATAAAACCGCAGATGATTTTTAGGTGTGATTTACAGTATGTGAAATAATTTAAAGACATTACAGGATATATTTGTATTATTCTTTGTATTTGTAAGTGTGTGAATTGGTATGAGGTTAAAAACATGTCTATGTAGAGACAGTATTTTAATTATACTTTTTAAATCAGGTTTAATTTTGATGAATTATTCATTTTCAGGTAAACAACTATTGAGAAACAAAGGATAAAACATTGTTCATGATACGAGAAACCTAAGCTGTCACAAGAGCCGAGATTTTATTTTCATATCTTTCTCTTTTGCCTCCCACCCTTTCTTTTATTGCTTGTCTCTTGGGTCCCATGATAAGGACGTGATATCTGTTTGAGTATTTCTTATATATATGTAATGCAGTTCTCCTTTCCTGACCTCTGGAAACGATCTATAAATGTGGTCTCTAATATTTGAAGATTCCTTGACAAATATTTGAGTCAAATTATTTAAAAGTAAAATCTCAGACGTGCACTGTGTGCCAATATTTCAGTGTATGTGTGTTGTACAATTACATGTAGGCATGGTCTTTTTAGATCATGGATTAATTTTGGATTATTGTGGTGACATGTTGTTTTTGCTATTTATTTACTGTGCTTTTTAAGTTACTTATTATTACAGTTAAACAAACACTTAAGGATACTCGTTTTCAAACTCTCAAAAGCAAGAGCAACTAATTACGCTCGACAGCATTGCAATTAACTGTGGTGTTGAACTTTGCTTTTTTTTTGTTTCTCTAAGCTAATCAGACAATGGCTTGAATGTGAACTGATATAAATATATGGCACTACAGCAGTTTTATATTGTGCTTATTCCATTATAAATGCAAATATTGCTAATTCTATAGTTTAGTGTTAAAATCTCTTTCTTTCTTTTTCTCCATCTCTTCTTTCTCTCCACCTCTAAAATCGCTCTCTCCATGTTATCCCAGTGTGTATCTACGTGAATAAGCATGTGAACACAGGTCCTAACCTGGACAGGCAGAAGGTGCTGCAGCTACCCGATCACCTGGGTCCTGCCAGGCCCTCTGTGGTGCTGCAGCAGGCGGTACAGGGCTGCATTGACAGCGCGTTTCAACAGAAAGCCGTCTTCACCCTGCTTACCGAGGGCTACGGGGGAGAAAAGATCTCAGGTTAATTTGCATGCGAAACACAAATATGTGCCTCCATTCTAATTCTCATTCTGCATTCTGCTGTTCATCCTTTATAGGCACTGTTTAAAAGCTTAGGGTCAGTAATATTTTTCTTTTTTAAAGAAATGAATGCTGTTGTTCTGCAATGATGCATTAAATTGATCGAATGTGACAGGAAATATATTATAATGTTATATAATGTTACAAAAGATTTCTATTTCAAATAAATGCTGTTCATTTGAACTTTCTATTCATCAAAAAATCCTGAAAAAAAAGTTTCCACAAAAATATTAAGCAGCACAACTGTTTTATATAACATTTCATCAACGTTTTCATAACTGATAATAATAAGACATGTTTCTTGAGCATCAAATCAGCATATTAGAATTATTTCTAAATGATCATGTGACACTGAGGTCTGGAGTAATGGAAAATTCAGCTTTGCCATCATAGGAATAAATTACATTTTAAAATATATTAAAATAAATTGTTCGCTTTTTTAATTGTTTTTACTATATTTTTTATCAAATAAATTCAACCTTGGTTGGCAAAAACAAATTGTCAATATTTGGCCATTTTGTGGTTATCATCAGCTAATAACTACGCCCACTTGAAAGATTATCAGGTAATATTACCATCATCTTTAGTAATTGATAATCCACAATTTCTGTTTTCATGCTTTAGAGAAAATATTTATTTATAAATGTATTTGTATTTTAAATTAAGTTAAAATGTAATGAACTCAGTATTGCAAATTAATTTAAAACACTGTTGTATGTATTATTTAAATTGTTACATATATTAAAATATATTAACATTTGCATTGGCCACCGTGATGAAATACATATAACGTTTAATAAGTATAACACAGACACTGTAAAATAAAGTCATACAGTATGTGTATTAACACAATTTCCAACAGTTCAAATTTACTTGAAATTCAACACTCTTTGTTTGTCTTCCTCAGCAACCTTTGACGGTAAGCAGCATTTGTTGAGTTTGCCAGTGGTCAACAGCGTAAGCTACGTCCTCCGCTTCCTCAAGAAGTTGTGCCGAAGCCTGTTGTGTGAGAACCTCTTCAGTGACCAGCCCATCGCCCCTTCATCGTCGCCCTCCTCCTCTTCCTCATTCCACACTGAAAAGCACTCAGACGGACAGCTCAAGTCAAGTGCGTGCTCATCAAGCTTTTATGTGTCCTGTGTTCTTCTACCCTTTCATACCCTTTTTCTTCTACACTTTAATAGAGCTGTATTTACATCTATCCCTATACAATCTGCAGTGTAGAAATTAGGTTTTAATGAGACTTTTTTTGTCTCATTTTGGTTTTGGATGTTTTGTAATTTGGCTTATTTGATTGGATCTGCCCTTTTTTCTGTTGCTGTTCAGTTTGCCCTTCGGAAAATGCAGAGGAGGCCTTTAGTGCAAGCTGAGCTATTTAAGTGGCAGTGAAAGGTTGAGTGCCTCTGTGAGTGGCCTGTGGTTTGAGTGTTTGAATTCTGTTGGCTCCATCTCTCTCTCTTTCTCTCTCTCTCTCTCTCTCTCTCTCTCTCGCTCTCTCGCTC